GGCTTGGCAGCGGGCTTGGCAGACTTGGGCTGCCACGGACGCTTGGAGGATTGGGAAGAGGAGAATTTGTTAAACTTACCGCCCTTGTCGGAGGGCGGGGCGAACACGCCTCTTGTGAGCGGAGAAGGTAGGCCGAGGCTGCCCATCCTTAATGATCTCATCCAAGGTGGAACCAAACAGATGGTCCCCAGTAAAGGGCAACTCTTGAAGAGCCTTCTTGGAAGCCTGGGCCGCCGACCAGCACTTAAGCCAGAGCAAACGGCGAAGTGTCACCGCTGACACCGACACCCTGGATACCCACAAAGGCGGGGGAGATGTTCTCCTCCGCAAGACCCTGATGTAACATTTTAGCCCACTCAGAGTCTGAGAGACCAAGGCCGAAGCCAAGACCGGACGCATGAGAGCGCCCGAGACAGAGTACAGGGACCGCAAAAGCGCCTCAGCCTTCCTATCGAAGGATCCTTAAAGGACGGAGAATCCTCCACCGGAATAACCGTGGCTTTGTTCAAACGAGAGACCGGCGGGTCCACCAGCGGTGGGGAAGACCACTCAGACACAAAGTCCTCCTTGAAGGGGTAGCGAACGGAGAACCGCTTCGGAACCGCAAAGGACTTGGAAGGCCGTTTCCACTCCTTATAAATGAATTCATCAAAAAAGGAGATGTAAGGAAACACCTTGGCGGAATGCCTGCTCTTATGCGTCCCAAACTGCACGTGGAAGTGCTGGCAACATCCTCAATTCTAAGGGTCTCCCTGACAGCGCGGACCAGCGCTGAAACCGTCACACGTTCCTGGACCAGGAGCGTAGACGCGTAGACGCAGCCTCACTGGTCCTCATCCTCACTGGTCGGATGAGGACCCGGATCAGGATGAGGAGAGTTCCCCCTCCTCATCGGACTCCCCTGACAAGGCTTCCTAGGTGGGCGCTGCGTCAAGGCGCGCTCACAAACCCATCCATGGCAGGAGGAAAAATATACCAGGGACAATGCGGTACCACCCACCCCCCAACTCCGACACAACCGATGGAACGCACGGGTGACTGGCAGAGCAGGCGTACAGGATGCACAAAGAGGGGGTCTAGAGGGGTCCGCAGAGCGCAGCCCACAACCCTCACAAGGCAATGCAGGAGAGTCATCCCTGCGATCCGCAGAAAAAAACACCCCACCGACCGGAGACCACCAGGCAAGGGGTAGAGGGACCCTCAGTAATTCAAGACCCTCAGCATATGTTCCGGCCCAGATGTCTGATTGTCACCCAGGGGAGACTACAAGGATCTACAGTCATCCAGCCTGTCGCCCTGGGGACACTTGCTAGAAGAAAATCTAATCAAACGGAAGAAAGGAAAATAATTCTTCAGAGACAAAATTTTAGCTCCTTACTCCTGATGCTAGGCAAAAAACTGGAGACTTGTCAGCAGGTGGGGGGTTTGGCCACCGGCAGGGGCCGCCCCTAGGCTGTAATTGGTCTTTAGTTTTGTGCCTAGCGTCCTTCTCCTGCAGGTGGCTATATTACCCTACCATTCAGGATCTATGATCTGTTGCCTGTGTCCTTCAATGAACGGGAGAGAAATACCTATTTTGTAAAAATACAATATAAAAGATGAGGTTACAATAAGTAAATAGATACCCAACATGCCCAGGTTAAAAATTGTGTGCCTCAATGAAACGGCGGCAAACTTTAGTACCCCAAAAAGTCCATAAACTACGCTTTAAAAGACCCCACAGGTCATACATTTAGAGATACCCGAAAATACTGGCCCTAGAATTATTGCTCTCACTCCGGCGTGTGCGGCGATACCCAACATGTGTCGCGCGTTTGTCGTTTTCATACATGGGTTCACCCAACGCGTGTTTACGCGGCGACGCGCGTGCTCACAGGGGCGGGGGACTTTAAAAAATGTGTTACATTATTTTTAGATTTTAAAAACGGTTATTTATTTTTATTTTTTTACTTTACTTTGATTTCTATCACATAGGGGGGCTTACAAGCCCCCCATGTGATAGCAGATGGTGGTGACAGGCACTCTTTAAAGGTGATGCCGGGGGTCCAAAAGACCACCAGTGTCACCTTTACACTGCAAATAAGCTATTGAAGTGCAGATCGCACTTCAATAGCTTATAGCTGGGCTTTAGGAGCCCAGAACTGACAGCCCAGGGACCGGAAGTGATGCAATCTCCCGGTCCCATAGAACGGGGACGGGATCGACGAATGGAGGTTTGTCCATCTCTTCCCCAGCTCCCGGCAGACACCAGAGAAGCCAGTCCCGGGCCCGTAGGAGGGGCAACAGAGTCCGGGAAGCACGGCGGGGGTGTCGGGCCACACACCCCATCACCGGGCCATACAAGCGATCCGGCGACAGCTGAATCACCAGAAATCGCTTCTATTGTAAAGCCAACAGTCGGCTTTACAAGTTTAAACAGAGTCCTGGCGGCTTTCTGTTTAAGCAGCCCCGATGCTAGCGACGTACACTGTACATCGTTAGTCATAAAGGGGTTAAATAGAAATATACCATAGAGAAGATTCCAAATGGTGAATAAAGTATTTTGTAATGCGACGATGGATGCTGTGATCCTGTTTATTTATTATGCATGTATGTTTATATACATGCATAATAAATATCTTTATATGCATGCATAATAAATATGTTCAGGTCTCACTATAGCTGAATATTTTTACCTAATACAGAAAAGCCTCCAATACAAAGCTGAAAAAATACAAAAGTGGCAGCCGTCAAAAACACTGACTAGTTGTACAACAGAGACCTGCGTAGTTATGGGAATGTCTGCAAATCTTCAGTAATTACTGTAAATATTATTGTGATCAAACACAGATGTTCATCTTTGCTCACCTTATTTATTGCAGAGATGGGCTGAATGCATTTTAACCACTTCAGAAATCCACATTAGTGATGGAAAACAATGGCACAAGAAGGAAATAGTTTAAGTGCCTTGTTATGCCTGTTCTTAAAGGGAATTAGTAACTCTGAGACAGCACTTATTATTTTGCACCATAAATTTTAGTCATCTAGCACAAATTATATTATTCTGTTGCACAGAAACGGTCACTAGGTCAGGAACAGGTCAAGGAGCAGATATCTGCAGCTACATGGTCAACAGCAGAATTTTCTACCCATGATCTATCTACCGTATATACTCGAGTATAAGCCGTCCCGAATATAAGCCGAGGTACCTAATTTTACCACAAAAAACTGGGAAAAAGTATTGACCCGAATATAAGCCGAGGGTGACTATCTATCATAGCTTTACATTCTGTTGAATGTATTCACTTCTGTAATTAAATCAACCCAGTCAAATCAGCAAAGATGGTAACATTACAAACAGAAGAAAATCTCTACGACAAAGCCCATAAGTGGGTAAAACCTTGGGCGGGACATCAGTGATGTGGTACAAGCTTAAAAAAAAAAAACTACTCAACAGAATCCAGTGTGTGGCCAGCTTTTATTCCGTTTGAATGGGCTCATATTGGAGGGAGGATATACACCTAGCTGCAAGCACCCAACTCATTCCTTCCCTGAGCTATGGAGGAGCGGTGCTTCTTTTGTGTGTTCTCCAAGGATAGTGACATTGCTATATTAATGCAGGGTTCACAGTGATTATGAGCTAATGTCAATCCCTATCAATGCCTTGCCTTTGAAGCTTAAGAATTTACACTAGCAGCATTTTAACTAAATATTTTAACAACTACATTACTGGACTTGTGGTGCTTTTATTACATACACATAAGAAATGCTTTAAAAAGACAACTATGGGGTTAAGGCTTTTCCCCATAGTTCTCCTTAGGGTAACGGGAGGACGCAAACTAGCGTTCTCCCCTCACCCTAAGCTCAATTATGTCTGGATCCGCCCAGCTGCGTGAGTGACAGCTGGCTCTGCCTACAAAACATTTGCCACACCACTTTAGTTCACTCATCTACTTTTTTTTGTATGCATGGCTTCCACCAAGGAGCAGCAAGGCTTTGTTTGACTAGGTGTCAAATGTGATATACTGTATGGATTATATATTATAGGTATATTATTGTTATTTTCAAATAGCTAAAGTCTGTCTGCCCAGAAAAAAAAAATTATATTCACATTTATTTCAGGAAAATGCATCCAATGTCAAAGTAAGTTTCTTTATGGGCCTTGCTCAACCTAACCAAAACATCCGAGTATCTATGGCAATGACTTCTATACTAAACATAAACATCAATCGGAATGAACAATCTCCCTTGCACCAAATGTTTTTCTCTCTACCTTTGTTTCATATTATAATGCAGATGTAGCGGCCGGTGCAGACAGTATTGTGACCGGCGGCTGTTATGAACTATGCCAGTAAGGAGAGTTTCCCTTGATTGTTATTGTGACGCTCCTGCAGGCTTCTGTGTATTAAGTGTTCAGGACTGAGCTTTTGTGAGTACATAAAATTTGCTTTTCAACTGTGGTTTAATACATAATCTACACTCCGTGATGGCGCTCCGTGTTTTATGCTTTTTCATAATATAGTATAAGCATTAGCTTGAATGGTTAGGAGATAAATATTTGTTATAATGAGAAGAAAAAAAAAACATTTAGAAAGGTAAATTTGAAACAATATGTTCACCCCCTTTGACTTCTTTTTAGTTTAGAGTCACTACAAGTAATTACAAAGGTATTGCTGAATCAATAGGCCCACAGCAGAAATTAAAAATTGCTCTGGTCCATAAAGGGTATGCAGGTGCGAGAGCGGAGGTGGTTCCAAATGTGCATATGACATTTTTGTGTTTGCCTTCAAAACTGAGCATGACTGTAAAATAGACCTAATCCTGCCAAATTAGAAGGCATGTCAAAGTTTTTAATCACTGTTCTATTTTCCTCCATGCATTACCTGGTCTTACATCAGCTGAGAGCGTCTTAGTAACAAGGAAATGCAAGAGAGATGGATGAATTGCTCAAACAAAAACAAAAAAAAAACACACAAGGAACACTTTATTGGCTTGAAGAGAATGGTTTGGGATGTCCTTACCATAATATGTAAGATACTCCGCTGTATGTAAAAATGTGAGTGAAATCGCCACATTAAATAGCCAGTTTACTCCAGAAGAACACGCATTTCCTGTGCTTCTTGCCCACAGGGGGTATATTTCAGAGTTGACAGTCCATGGCATCGGTCCCATTCCTATGAAACATTCAAACATTCAGTGTCAAACATACATCGACAAAAGACCAAATGCATACAAACTGAGTTTTTAGTAAAGAAATCGTTTTACTGGCCAGTTCATACTAAGTTAATGGACAATCCATAAGCAAGAGTTACCATTAGTGAAATACTAGGTGCACCGCAATGAACATTTCAAAACCGAAACAAAACCGCTCTCCATCCTGACTCGCTGTCACAGGAGGCTGAGCGAGCGGTGCGGGGAGCTCAATCTCCTCTGACAGCTTACTCCTCCACCGCACTGCAGACCCAGCCTCCGGTGACAGGTGTCTCCTCCCCTACACTGCCACAGTGCCCAGTAAAAATTCTGTTTGATTTTAACATTGCATTTTGGAATTCACTGTTAGAAAAACTTTTCATCCTGCTCCTTAGTTTTTTCATCACTTTGGTCGAAATCGATTGTGGATTTAACCCCATTAACTATTAGTAAATCGAATACACGTAATAAAAAGATTTTTTTTTCAAACCAATTTCCACTGGTGTATAGCCAGCTTTAGAAACCCTGCAAATGCTTAACGACAGATCCTGGTAGAAGAAGGGTGGAAAGGCAGAGGTAAGAGCAGCAGCTTCTGCAGATTGTTTTCAATTTCCTCCTAGAGGGTCACTTCAAAAACATTATCTTGTTCTATCCCCTGAAATTTACCACCAGAACAGACATTCAAACTTGGACTCTTAGAAAATGCCCAAAAAGGACCTTGTTTGAACGAGTCATATGATAATGGACAATCTTTTTCAGTAGGTTTAATTGTTATAATAATAACTTACCAGGTGCAAAAAAGACTAAATACAGAATTAATCCAATGAGCACAGTCCAGGAATATGATGTTGGACAGTAATTATAAGCCCAAAATGAACCAGATTTGGATCTGGATTCATTTGTACATCTGAAAGAAAAGAAATTCATCATGTCACAAATAGTTTTCATGGTTTATTAACAGCCATGCATTTTAGGTGTAATCCATAAATCTTTTTTTTTTTATATTCTGTTTATCGAACTCAGAAAATTCATATAACATACCAATGTTGCTTCTGATAAATAATTTACAGTTCTTGCACAATGTCTTTATTAACAAAAGTACAAAAAAATATATAAAGTAGTTTAAAAAAACGCATTAGGTTTTTTTTTACAAACCGAGCATAAGCGAGAAATCAGGGACACTAAATATTGGCAGCCATTCCCTAGCTTACACAAACGTATACTGACCAAAGTGCGTCACTCTGAGATGTGGGTAAATGTAGATTTATACTATGGATTCTAGATTTTCTGGCATTTAAGAGGGCAATTTATATTATTATAAATTGCCTTTTCATAGGAAAGAACTTGGTTAGTCAATAATAACCATTGGGCCACTGTGGAAGGGGACGGTGATCATTTTGCGTCCATCAACCCTCAAAAAGTTGATAGCATTAAGTGGCCACAATGTGTTATCCAGCATGCCAAATATGCAAGTCTCAGGAGTACACAGAATAGAGAGCTTCAGCATGGAGAGGAGAAATCAAAGATCAATGGGCAGCACCAAATTAGGTGTACAAAACCCACTTGTGGATGACTACATCTTAAACAATTTGCAGTACTTAACCCATCTTATGTAGGCAGGTGGTAGACAAGTAGGCCTGGTGGAAAATATACAACTGAGTGAGGTTTTTTTTTTTTATTGCCAGTGAAAAAAATATAGGGGGGAACATACTTGGTATAAGGGATTGCCATTTTGCTTTAACCAATAGAGGTGACTTCTCCAATGTGGTATGAAGGAGGTATGATTAAAGAACAAAATCCAGAAATCTTTAAAGTGATATTGAAGTCAAAAGGATTTTAAACTTTTTCAAATGCTGATGAAATCACTCACAGTGAATGCTGCTCCTTAATGGTTAAAAAAGTTAGTTTCCTGCAGCAAGCTTGTCTCCAGTGCCCTGGCCCTGATATCCTGTTTTATAGTGACTCCTTTCTCAAGCAGAGTGCTATGAAGTAATCCTTGTGTGTACTAGTAAGCTGTGTGCGTCTCCACAAACATACAGACAGCAAAAAACTCCCCTCCCTAGACAGGAAGTTCAGGGAATCTGAGCTGAGAGGAGACTTGGAAGCAGCTGTTCAGAAACATGATGGTTGTAAGTACTTGGGCAAAAATGGAGAGCAAGGCTTTGCTGAGCAATGTAGATTTGTTTGATCTGGGTTCATTATTGAAAAAAAAGCTGGTTTTATCTTTTAAATGGCTATAAATTTGATATGGTTTTGTTTTGGCTAGAGTTCTTCTATGAACAAAAGACGATCTAAATGTAAATCAATACATTCATAATGTTAGTTTAACAAATAAAATATATTACCTGCCCCATGCAGAATGTTCTGTACTTTTTGGGTCAACTGGGATACATGATGAATCGAAAACATGTGATCCATTAATCTTGTAGCAAAATCCACAGTTGGGGTCCAGCATACATCCATTACAAAAGCTGTAAAAATAAGAAGTTATATTGTTGAATGACTTTTTGTTTTTGTTGGCTATTACAGCACAACTGAGGCCTTTAACATTTGGGGAAATACATTACCAGTACTGGCTTACTGTTGTTGTTAGAACATGGACAGGTGTGGAATTAAAATGAGGCCAGTGGATTAAAACTGTCAAATCTGAAACTTGGGAGCCCCCAAATAAGTCGTTGTGCTGTGGAAGTGGTGGGGGGGTGCGAATAAATTCAGGAGCATACCAGCATACAGGTAATTATTAGAGAATGTGTGCTTCCTTTGGACAACAGTGGAGGCTGGGTTTAATTCCAATTAGATAATTGGAATGGTGGAACATTCACATTATAGTGACAGCTTCTTACCTTACCCATAAACACACTAATTCCCACTTGTCTATTTTTTGATTTGATGAATAAAAAATATAAAAAAACCCTTTAAATATTAGTTCCTAAAACATTTCTTTATTTATAGCTTTCTATACTAAGGAACTGTAAAACAGTAGAGGTATGATAGCAATACAGAAGTAAAACAACTGGTACATACACTGAACACTCACCTATATTTTGTGCAACTAGAGTTTTGACTTTGGGGGTCTGTTGGGGTGAAGGTAACTGGTGGTGAGACTTGAGCAGATAACAGAAAGCCCAGAGCAAGGACAATAAGGGCCATTGTTGTACCTAAAAACATTTACAGTTAGTATAGCAATAATTATTTCACAGTCAACATCAGCAAACATTTAAATATAATTTTAATACTACAGCTGTGCATGAGCTTAGTATTGGTCACTAAATGTTTGCAGACTGTTGTTATAATTAGGTATAAGTGACTAAATATAGCTCACAGCACCCAATAAACACACCCAGACCAGCCATTTGGGCAAATGTCACATACTGATGTACAGTGCTTTGTGCATGTATTTACAACCCACACCAAGATTTTTCTTATAGATCTAACAACTTGGAATTAAAATGTATTTCATTGAAATTGTATGCTACTGATTTACACAAAATAGTATATATGTTGAAGTGGAAGAAAAATGTTTTGTTGCAAATGGCTAATTTGTTAAATGAAGCCAGCATTTGTGCAATCAAAGGGTCAAATGGTTTAAACATAATTGCACCTGTTTCTGGAAGGCTCCAGTAATTATCCAAACAAACAGCACCATCAAGACCAAGGAGTTATGAAATCAACTCTCGGGGCAAACTTGTGGAGAAGCACCAATCAGCTTTGGGTTCTAAAACAAGATCTCAAACTTTGACCTTACCCTGGAACAATATTTAAACTAGAGCCATAAGGCCAGTGATAAAGTGTATCTAAACCCAAAAGCTTTTTTTTTTTTGGCGTAGGGAATAATTAAAACTCGAGTCAAGTTTTTTTCCCCCCCACCTATGTTCCATTGGGAAGAATTACTATCAACGCCTGATCTACAGATACATTAGGTAGGGGCAGGAAATCCCCTTACCATTTAGCAAATCGCAACAGTTTTCCTATGTATTTACGATCCCTATACCTGTATCCCTGAGCAGCCAACTGCAACAGATTTTCAAATGTCTGAGAAAGATTTATTACTGAAGTAGAGACTGATTTTTAAGCTAAACTTAAGCACAATAAAGAAGTAGTCATGTTTCATTCTGTTGCAGGGAATTTATGACTCCATCAGCTATGAAGCTGTAAACGTCTGTCACACAATCTGTGTCACTGCTTCTGTTTTCCAGTGCCTTGCTGTGCGACAAAATTGATAAATGTTCCCCTATGAATGCAACAAAATTGATTGTCCCCCTATGTATGTAGGAAAGCCAACACTGCTCTTTGCCCTGAGACAAACAAGTTCAGGACGGTAGTGGTATTTCAGTCTAAAAGACTGAGGCGGAAGTTCACCTATTCGCAGAATAACCAAAAGGTACAATGCAGTGGTTTAAACCAATGAAAGTGAATGTCATAGACTGGCCCAGCCAAAGCCCAGACCTCAGATCAACTAAGAATCTGTGGTAGGAACAAAGGCTTGCAGCTATAACTGCAGCCAAAGCTGGTGCTACCAAGTTCTGACTGGGGGGTGGAAGAGGACCTGAGATTGACCTATGTCTTTGTTTAACCACTTGAAGTCCGGGGTGTTAAATCCCCTTCCCATCCAGGCCATTTTTCCTTATTCAGCGCTGTGGTACTTTGACTGACATTTATTCCGTCATGCAACGCTGTACTGAAATTCATTTTATACCGTTTTTGGGGGACACATAGAGCTTTCTTTTGGTGGTATTTTTTTAAACTATATTAAGGAAAATTTACAGAAAATTTGAAAAAACAAAACACTGTTTCCCCTATATTAAATTCTAAAACATTGATTATTACCCAATTTTTTGGTAAAATATTGCACACGCGCGCGAAACCTCAAAAATCTACATTACCCAAAATTGGCCATAGGCGACGCTTTAAAAGCTTTTACCGCATCTGCCCGTGCATTTTTTTTCCTGCGCAAGCAGGTAAAAAAAAAAAGCCGTTGATGCAAGTCTGCCGTCCGTCCATTTTTTCTTAACGGGCGGATGGCAGAAGATTAAAGATGATCTCCAAAAATAGCAAAGCACACAAAAACAGTACACCACTCTACATACCGCACTACACTAACCACATCAGTGCTCAGCTTAAATCCCTCTGCCTAGGGTCAAAGTAGTAATAAATGAGGGAACATTTGCACAGAAATTCAAAATTGTTTTATTAATCATCAATCTTGCATAAAAGTAACAGCATTTCAGCCTACACGCTCGTAGTCCGTTTTGCAGTAGTTATGCAAACATCATAGGAAATTACCAGGAACATCATGCAAAAATAAAAGTATGGGATTTATTTTTGCAGAGGGCTGTGGCTACCACTTCAACTTTTTATACATAAAGGGCTATATGCTTTCAAAAAATAAACTAAAAATATACTTTAGCTATACAGAAAAGAGTTTTTCATATACAAGACTGAGAGATGAATATTTTCTTTAAAACATTGTTCACAAATGCCAAAATAGCCACATACCTGTAAGACTTCCAAGTGTAAGTTTTCTGCGACCAACTTTCTCTACAAGCCAAACACCAACAAGTGTAAAACTGAAGTTTGTAAATGCTGTGATAGCTGAAAGCCAAATAGCAAGTCTGTCGTTATCCACACCTGACATCTGCAGAATTGTTGCACTGTAGTACCTACAATACATAAAAAGTTAGCAAAACTTAGTACGGCAGTAAAATGCAGCACACCACAGCATGGCATCTACTTCTGGTGCCATGGAAGTACACCTCTGGGAAGGTCGTATCTGCCATGTGCATTACAGCATACATTCACTGTGCAGGTAAACTGCGACTGTTATGCACAAACCAATGCATTACACAGATGTGTACTACCGGTATGTAGCAACGGCTAGGCTGCACCTGTGAAGAAGTAGCTTGACACATACACCTTTTGGGGTGGGAAAAGCAAAAAAGTACATGGGCTAGAGATATAATAATAACAAAGCGAAGATGTAGAAATTATTAGGTCCGTATTAACATTTGGAAAAGGGAATCCTCCGATTATTAACTGGCTAGTGTCTCTAAATACCATCAGATGGAATTGCACAAAATTGTATAACAAGTAAAGGCACTCATGCACAATATGTGTGCCAACAGAGTCTCTACACAGAATCATAACAGCAGATGGCAGCTTCCAGGCTGTTTGCTTACTAGATGATACCTCCTTACTGTTCACATTGAACATTTTCAGCAACAACACTCGCTACATCTGATCAGTGAGCAAATATTAGCATTATACTTTTCTGAAAAATGACGACTGGTTTCATAGCACTGTAAAGCTGTGGCGTACAATCCAACTTCTATCATACTGGTGTCTAGAATGAAATGCACTTCTGTGAAGGCCACAACCATACCCCACCCACGTTTCTAAGATGAAAAAGAGGGACACCTTCTAGATCAATGTACTTAGGCGACAGACACACCCCTGTCCCCCCCATTGATGCAGACCATTAAGAATCTTGAAGCCAAAAGTAACTGGTTAAACCCAGAATTGTTTTTCCATCACTTTTCCTTTATTCTGGATCTTTGAAAGCGTAATCAGGATAATTAAAGTGACACCAAACTAAGGAATTAAATTAAGAAAAATAAATTAAAACAAAGTACCTTAACTTTTAACAAAAATGTATTTGTGTCTCACTCGATTGTAGAACCTCAATTCATCTCTGAATTCATGCTGAAACTGTTCTTCCTTCTGGAGGGTGGCTACTTTTGTACCCCATTGTCCCTGTGGGTGTTGTAAAGTAGTCACCACTCCAAGCTCCCTCCCGTGATGGACTACAAAACCAATACAACTAAACTAACTGAGATTGTTCACCTTACATCTTGTGATGGACTCCAATCTCATGTTTGGTTTACTAAGTTGTATTGATATTGTAGTCTATCACAGGAGCGAGCTCGGAGTAGTGTCTACCTTACAACACCCACAAGGATCATGGGGAACAAAAGTAGCCATCCTCCAGAAGGAAGGGCAGTGTCGGTACAAATTCAGAGATGATTTGAGGATCTGCACCTGAGTGATGGACAAATAAGCCACATTTTTGTTAATAGTTAAAGGTACTTGAATACATTTTTAAGATTTAACTCCCGAGTTTAGTATCACTTTAAGAGATATGACAAAGGATTTAGTGTAGACTAACACTTTTGGTAGTTATAGAGTACATTTCCACATTGGACCAAAAAAAAGGGACAACTGAGGAGGAAAGGGGAACAGAGGGATTTGGTTTCAAATGAGGGACAGTTGGACGGTATGGTCTAAACTACTATTCTGAACAGAACTAAATAATACAATAAATAATGTGGGTGTCATGAATAAATTGCAGAGACAAAAAGGCAACTGCACTACCAGATTCTCCCCTTCCATTTTCAACCATGCACTAGAGACGTGACTGCTGAAAGGTAACTGGTTTCTGTGTGATCCAGTAACACCTTCTTTTATTTTGTTCCATTATTACAATGAGAAGAATAAACATTTCAGCATTATGTACAGACTAACCAAATGTCTAATGTATGTCTGTTCTACATACAGAAGTAGCCAGCATCAGTTCTTGTTTCGTATACTAATGTGCATTATTGTACAGCTTGACAGCAACCAAGCAGTGTTCTGCAATAGATTTCCTGTCAGCTGTTTGAAACCTTAAATCTAAAGACTGGCACAGATATGCAGAGCCTAAAAATAATCCATAGAATGTTAGCATTAGCAAATTGTTTTTAATGGTTACCTCCATCAACAGTGACAAATTACTAACTACAAATGCATATTAGAAAGTCTGGAGAGTATACAATCAAGTCGTAATTTAAACTTTGCAAAAAAATAAAAGTCAGTCAACAGTGCCCATATACAAGGGGTGAAGGATGCCTGAGCGTTGAGCAGTCAAAACTCTTTTCCAATAAAATCTTGTAAACATCTTAGTCAAAGAAAACAAAATCTAAATATAACAAAACAGCACTCATTTAGTAAGGTACATTGTGAGCTCACGTCAGCTGTCTTCTCTCACCTCCAGTACTGGCAGCCTCAGTATGTGGAGGCGTGTGACAGAAACAGCTATATCTAAGCTAATGGGCTTAAGGATGAAGCACAAATGGGTGACAAACATTCAAAAGCCATGGAAATGGGCAATAGCTTTATAGAAGGCTTAAAAAGCCCTTCACAGATCTAATGCACAGGAAACAGAATACATCAGCAGTGCTTTACTATTAGGCCATCACTCTAATTTTTATTGAACTTATCTGAAAATACAATAAAAGGAGTGGATACTCCAATCGGACTGCTTTCCACATAAACCTCTACTCCAACGCACTGAAAATCACAGCTGTGCTATTTTTTCCTTAACACAGCACCCCACAACACATGGCAGTGGTGCTCTACAAAGCAGCTGCATTGGTTTAGGCCTCATTTACAGGGATGTGCAGAGCCATACAGAGTGCACATTTGTTCAGAGACCTGCACTTGGGAGGGACAGGTGCTGCATGTAGCTGCCTGTACACTTATATGACAGAAAGCAGCTGCAAGTGGCTACACGCTACCTGAACTGGCATATCCGTACAGGTAAAGATGCACACCCTTGGACATGAACAGGAACTATCTGGAGGCTCCTGCAGCAACCTGCAAGAGATGGTGTACACACCATTATATGTAACTAATGTGTTTGCTGCTGTATCCAATAAAAATAAAATTACTAAATTTTAGGTTTTAAATATGTCATCTAGGGCCTCGGTTCTCAACTGGAGGGTTGTGACCCAAAAGTGGGTCGTGTTCAATGGGTCCCCGCGTGCCTTCCACTTTTCTAGGTGAGAGGCTCCTCAGCCTCCCCCTAGCGCAAGACTGTCAGTTCTCATGCCAAGCAGCCATTCAAAATATGCTGCCCAGTGCTGAGTGTCAGCTTGAGGTGGGGTGGGCTGGAGGTATGGCTGTGAGGGAGCTCCATCCATACATGCATTGCTTACAGCTCCCTCACATGTCCTGTAGAGGTGCCTGGACCAGAGTGATGTAACATACAGCTTCCTTGCACACCCTGTAGAGGTGCCAGAATAAGTGGATGCACATATGGATGGAGCTCCATCACAGCAGCCCACACTGCATTGCAACTTGGGTTACGACTTAATGACCAAGGACAAATGTGGGTCTTGAGATTACACAGGTTGAGAACCACTGATCTAGAGCACATTCTCTATCTTCTTAAATATATATTCTACAACTCACTGATCATATGAAACGTACCATGAGTTGCACATATAACTTTTAGTGGTAACAAGTTTGATAAACATTGTTCGTTAGTAACCCTGGGTGTATGAGATCCGTACCTCATTTTAGCTATACCACTGGATCTGCCTACACAGTTTATTGTCATATGCAGAAAGAACAAGTACGGAAAAAAAATTAAAAGTACAAAAAAAGTCTACTTGCATGCATTCTCTGTTTTGCACAAAAGTAGGCAACACATAAATAGACAATCTATACAATAAAAAGCAGAAGCACACGAACACATCTTATATATGAATCAAAATAAGTAAAATCTAAATAACTGCCCATTCAAAAGTCTTATAACTGTAGGATAGCCTTTGACATTGCATTTTTTTTTTGTTAGTGACTGGTTTAGAGCTGCAGCTAACGATTATTTTCAAAATCGATTAGTTAGCCGATTATTAAGTTCGATTAATCGGTTAATCGGATAAAAAATAAAATACATTTTAAAAAATGGCTCCAGTGATGGGACTTCTAGTTTGTATTGAGATTGCAGTCCATCACGGATTACTTTACCTCCTTACAAAACAAAAACAACATATGTTACTGTAAATGTCTATGTAAAATACAGGACTCTAAAGAAAGTTGCATACGATAAAACGGCATTGAACAGTTATGTCAGACAAGAGCATACAAATGTCATGTTCTGTTTTTTAATTAGCACAATGTAAAGACATAATTATGGATGATACTTCCTGATGTGTAACAAAATCAAGATAATTACATTTCACAGGGCTGTGGGAGCAAGAGAGCAAAAGGACACGTTTCATTTGTTGAGTAAGGCAAGGTTTTAGGGAACAAAAGCTGATTGTAGCAATTATGTGTGTAAGTTTATGCACAATTACCACTTATTTGCTGTATTTACAGACTAAAAAAAAATGAAAAGATAAATGTAGCATTGGCTTAAAGTAGAATTAAAGTTGTTTTTTTTGCATATATCTACCACTAGTAAGCAGTAGATGTATACCCTAACAACAAAAAAAAGAAGTTGCCAAATACCAACTAACTTACCTGTGTCAGTGGCGCTCGCTCCGGCTGCAGAAGTCCTGACTCCCAAACGCTGTGAAGGATGAAGTGTAGGTGGGCACATGCACAGTCAAGATCCCCTGAGGGGAGAGAGGAAGAGCGACACAAACTCAGTGGATGTAGCCGGGAGCGCGCACATGCGCTGGATCAGAAAACGGGCACCAACGCTGGAGGGACTGTGGAAAATGAATGCAAGGAAGCAGCTGTTCGGATCAAGAGGCATCACATAAGGGAAGTCCTTACAGCAGCATTGGGGGCGGGGAATCTGCCTTCAATGTTACTTTAAGTTAGTGAGTAGTAATATTCCCTTAGGCAGAAATCACACTTCCACTAAAAGGGCCTTTCTGGTCTTGCATAAGACATGTTT